CTCCATTTGTGGGGGCAAAAGCTGTTACTCTGATTGTGAGAAATTGAATTCTGCATTTAAGAAAAATACACACCACAACCTCTCCCAAACGTCGAAGCCAGTTTCAAACTCAGCTTTGGACTTCCAGCAGGAAGAGCACCTACTGCATTGAAAACTCATCGTTAATTATCGTTCAGAACAGCCTGGTGGCGTTTGCTTAGCCTGCGAAATCCTCAGGGTGGCACAATCTAATAGCTGTGCTTCTACAGCATCTACCATGATAAGGACCCTGTAAAAATAGAAGCCCAAGTAACTAGAGTCATTACACACACACATACATATATGCAGTTTATGCAGATATTATTGCCAAGAAATTATTCTCCCATAAAGGCAAGGATTGGATCTTGCTGCCCCAAAATGAGAATTTTACTCTAATCACATAAAAAAGAACAACTTCATAAACACAGGAAGAAAGAGAGAAATGATGCTTCCTGTGAGAAGGAAGTCCATTTAAAGCGTGAATAAATTGATGCAGTCAGGAGAAAGAAGCTTGTATATGCAAATAGAGGTTTATTACCCATTTTTGTGCTCCTAAGAAACATAAAAAAACTACTGACCTTTGAGAGAAGGATCAAGTAGGTTTACGGAATAAGAAACAAAGGCATCTCTTTTGGCAACAGCCATGTTCCAGAGCAGTAATTATCCTTCTCTCTCCCCGTGAGCAGCAGGAAATGAAGAGGGGTGCGATTACATTATGACAATTACTGTAATTTTAATTTCTAAAAATTGCCAGGAAAGTTTCCTCTTTAAAAAAGGGAAGAAAAAAAAAAAAGCCTGTTCAGATTTTTGGTGTAGTTTTAGTTTAAAACTCATTCCTCAGCTAAAACAGAGCTGTGCTTCCCCCTCTCCCACTCCTTTTGGGGAACCACCCACAAAGTCTACACGGTGAGAAAGCCCACTTTCCTCCTCATTAGTTGAGAAGATAGACGGCTAAGTGTGGTCAGTGAGGGTCCAGGAAAGATGGAGGTGGCCTGAAGGCACGTCACAGGTGCAGTAAGGATGCACAAACTGGGCTGTCCCTGCTAGGTGCTGCCAGGACGGATCCCTAGGAGCCCTCAGCTTTTCAGCCTAGTCTGCTGTTGGGTTTAATATCACTCGAAATCATTCAGTCCTGGGCACAATAACATATTCTTCTTTCTATGGGAAGTGGTTGATGTTAGATGCACAATAATTGAATTAAAAAGAAGGATTATTTTAATCTCCTATGCTCAGAGGGATTATTGGCTTTTTTGTGGAATTTCTGCAGGCTATCATTTATTATTTTAATATTATGGATAATCTATTCTGTGCTATTAGAATATTATCATATTTTATTATACCCAACTGTTGCACTGTGGGATGGACTTAGCCCAAGAGGACAGGTCTACTCAGCTATCCAGCCTCCCCTACCACCGACCACACTGTCCCAGGCTGTTATGGGGGACACCTGAAATACCTCCTCTCCGACAGTGGACTCTCTGCCTGGAAGGAGGAACAGCTGCTTTGCACCAAGGTGTGTCTGTGCAGGGGGAGAAGGTGGGATTCGAGGCACGTCTGCCCCATACGTAGGCAGGAACCAGAGGCAACCATATCACCAAATACATTACCGTCTCTGCTGTATGCCGCAACAGCATTTCTCATAAATGGAAAGCTGCTTTCCAGGATTCCCCTGTGCACTCCCTTAATGAGACTTCTGAGGTCTCATTTTGGCCACTGGGTCAATATCTACAATTGCTTTCACAGATCCAAGCTAAAGGGCTTTTTTCAAATAGTTACCACAACTCACGTTCAACAACGATCATTTAGCGTAGTAAAAATTTGTGTCTTTCAATATATGCAGTAACACACCTATAGAACTACATCGATTTGCCCCCACACAAATACATTCCTACAAACACATATTTGATTAAGAATTTATATAACTTCGGGCTTCAATGAATTTTGGATCAATGCCTTTCTTTTGCTTTTATAAATAAACAAACTCAATTAAACAGTACTTACAGCAAACCACGATGGGCAGGAGAATACTTTTCCCAAACCTTCACTTTCCAATTTTTACCTGTTACATGGGTCTAAGGAATCAATTACTCCCTAAAGGGAACTTATTAGAGTTTGTGTTACCAAACATCTTACCTTTCCCACCCACCAACAGAAGACAAGAATTACAGGGACACGTATACAGAAAAACTAGCATTCTTCAAACCTCGTATAATTTTCTGTAGTAAGCATAAATAAAACAAAACGAAGCCCTGCAGGCAAGCAGCATTTGAATCAAGACTGGATCTGCACCAAGTCAAGAAGTTCACCATGCAGTCTCACAAGACCCATAAATCAGGTCACCTGAACATATGCAGTATTTTGCATTACTGTATAGGGTGTTAACTTTGATGCCTTAATATATGCACATAGTGGTCAGGTTATGGTTGCTGTGGGAACTATAATTTTGCATGTCCTGACCCATTTGTAGACAGAAAAATAATAATAAGTAAAAAACAGTCACACCACTGCATTCCCTTCATCAGGTTTTATACATTTAATTTCTCTCTTTTTATATTTGAAAGAGGAAGAAAAGAAGACACGTGTGAAGCTGCAAATGTATAGGAAAGCTGAAACAGATGTGAATTAACTTTCTTCCTTGTCAAGGAGTTTGCATGAAACCTCACGTGTCCCCAGCCCAAGCAAGTGTCACTGCATGAAAAGTACGTGCTCTTGGGCATGATCAAGCTTATTGCTGAGTCAGAAGCATCTTGTCAAGGACATACTACAACCCCCTTCTTTTTCATAATGCACCGAAGCCAACCACCAGCATTCACTTGCAAGTGACAGCTACAAGGAGAAACAACCTGCAGCTGATGCAGTTTAACACAATTTCTGCTGATGCTGCCTGACCCACACCAAACTGTTACTGCTACAGTGTCCTAACGGGTAGGATTCTTACCTGTTTTAAGGCAAAGGGATTTGTCTCTGTCCAATTCTTCCTGCAGCCTCCCTTTACCGCCACCCCCACCATCACTTGTCTCCAAGATTTGAGTACTTTTATCCGACATCTTGGTTTTTTTCCCCTATTAAAACTCTGCTGCCTTCCAGAGAAAGTTGTTTTTGGAGTCATCAGCCATTTTCAGTATACCAAAAAAGTTGATTGCATCCAGGCTTACTCCAGGTGCAGGGATGCACAACAGCTATGCAGTAATTAGCTCTCTTCATCCTATTAGCACTGGTTAATAGGATGGTCCAGCAGTGTCCCGTATCATATGGAACAGCCATGGCCATGCAACCATATGGTAGTCCAGGCAAGACCAGAGCTGTTCCCACCTCTGCAATCCACTCCACCGACAGTAATGTAACAAAGTTGGTTAAAAGCACGAGAAGTGATATAATATAGATGGCATGAAAACAAATCACAGCTAATTTGCACAAAACAAACCCCCTTATCTCTGAGCTCAATCATCAAAACCAATATATGTTTGACGTCTGGTGGATTTGACCATCATTCAAGAGTACGCTATTGGTGACCGTGCACAATACCCATGTTCAAAACAGATCACCAGTTGGTGGACAAAAATAAGCTATAACGTTTCTATAAACACATAGCTGAAGAGCAACATGTGTGCACCATCACTCCAAAGGGGGCGGTGGGAACACTCAATAAGGGTAAAGGAATACATTAGCCCTTTGGCACACAAAGGCCTTAGTTTCATTGCCGCTAACCACCTAAAACCAACTAAGTGACAAGAAGGTCTGATGCAGAATTGTGATTGCTTGAAACCTATCTAATATTAAAGCTCTGGTCCATTGGCTTGCCCTAATGGTAGGGTCTTCGGTGGCATCGTTTCACCCTTCTTTACAGAGAAGCATTAATGTTACAAAGAACAACTATTTCATATACACACGTTGAGGAGGATATAGAAAACCGGGTGGCACAACAAGGTAGGGAATGAAGATTCATCAGGAAAGCAGAAAACCTGCTGACTGCCCCTTAAAAGAAGAGACAAGGGTATCAATAATATCAGAAATATTCACTGGATTTAGGCACAGAGTTCTGCTTTTTGGTGGCATATCAGTTGCAAATACCTAAAAGCTTTTTAGTGTGTAGGACTTGAAAGGCCAACCTAATCTCTGCTGGACTCATACTACAGCTAACTGATCTCCTGGCATCAAACCTCTCATTGAAATCTGGGGAGATTTCTTATACACACACACGCATATCACATATATAGCATTTTGCATTACTACTTACATATATAGTATTTTGCATTACTATTTGTGAAAGACTACGCACATACACATATAAACACATATATATACACATACATATCTTTACACTTTTAATCATGTTACATGTGCACAGGCACAAATACATTTAATTATATTTCATATATACACACATATGCATGTACGTATGAAACTAAATATATGCACAAAATTATAATGTATATACTCTGATTACACATAGTATTTATTAATTGACAAAGTTCCTAATATGAGTAAAAAGAGAAAAAAAAGGCTCTGCATATATATAATAGTTAACCACAGTGTAATGTAGCCGAAGAACACAGGATACATGATCCCTCTTAAAACTGAGGAGAGAGATTTGGTAAAAAACCCTCTTACTTCCTTCTACGAAATTGCACTTGGTGTGTGATTTCACTCAGCCTAAGAGCCCATCTCCCAGAGGAGGGGGTACAGGACAGCTCTTTGATATATTTCAGAGTAGACAGAACTCCCATCAAGAAGGGAAAAACAGCCCCATGAGAACAGAAAAGCAGAGAATAATTAAACAGGTATTACATATGTCTTTTTTCCTGGGTCCTGTATCTTCCACCTCCAAAGATGTCATAAATCTCTATTTGAAAACCATCTCACTGGCTTCAGTAAAGGTAGTGGGGGAGCACTATGCTCTTCAGCATCATTAGTGGGGTTAGAAAACAGCCCTTTTTTAGCAATGCACTTACTGTCAAACACAGAGACACACACGAACTTACCTGTTTGGTACTTCTCTGCCCAGTAGGAAGCAAAGCTTTGGATTTCTCTGCTATTTTCTGCAAAAATGGAAAAAAAAAAAAAAAGAGGGAAAATGGCTGAGAAAAGAGAGTCCAAATATTTAGGGAAGGAATCATATGAAGCTATTTCTTCTGATTTTTAAAGAAAAGGACATAGAGAAAACTCTTATTACTTAGAAAAAGAAAGGGAGTATAACCGCATTGAAAAGTTTGGTCTTGCAGGAATTAAAAGTCTTCAAAGCTTCCAGAATGACAAGGTTATCAAAACTGAAACACGCATTTAAGAAATGACAGCTAGGACGTGGATAAGTAGCAATTTACCACTCAGATTGGTTTCCTGACGCAACCGGGCATTCACAAACTGCAGTGGCTAATTTTGGCACTTCTGAATTGATGACAGTTTTTAAAAAAAAAAAAACAACCCTACATGTTCAGTTCAGATGGATTGTACTCATGAACATTAAAAAAAAAAAGCATAAAAAAGGTGTGTGTATGTGGGGGTGGAGCCCTTCACCTGAATCCTTCCAGCTTGTCATTTAATGGGATAAGGTCATTTCATTTAAAAACCCCACACTTAGGCTTTTGGATAGGACAGAGAAATAATTAAAAATATGAGATAATGCTAGAGATAATGCAATGCTATTACATAATATAAATGTTATTGAAATGCAATTTTGTGTACTTTTATTCGTTCATTTATTTATTTATTTTTAAACCATCGGCAGCCAGTGTTGCGAAATCAATCAGTACAGAGTGTTTCTGATAGCGATACATTATGAAGAGCATGTTGCCAGCCAAATTTCATTACACCTCTATAATCACAATATATTCTTCCCATGTGTTGCAGGCATGGGTCAAACTCACTAGAGCAGTGTAAGAAAGCAAGCAGAGTTTGTCCAGGTTGTATTTGCATAGGATTCAATTAATCCAGATACATGTTCAAACTTGTTACTGCAGGGGAGAGAAGCAGTTTGAGGATGGTAAATTTAAATCATTACTACAGTGTTTAAAAGCAAAGCAAATCTGCTCGTCAGTAGAGCCTCCCCAGGGTAAAGTGGGAGAGCAAGAAGCAAATGAAAGAGCTGGAGTTCAGGTTTTGTTTGTTTCATTAAACAGCTTGATCTTGAGGAGAGGTCCAAACCACAAGATGTGTTCGGAGACCTTCTGGCAAAGCCGTGTAACACAGCAGAGCCGTAAGGTGGGTTAACATTTAAATTAGCAATGGTGCCCGCACATTTTCTGTAAGCAGAAAAGGTGCAAGGGCCGCTGTGCAATCACTTCTCCTTCTCCCCTGAAAGTGGAGACACACCAAAATAATGTCATGGCTAAGCCAGGGGAACCATTGAAGGTCCTAGCAGACACACAGCTGGCAAGAGCACACTTTTTTTTCTTTTCCATTGCTGCTGAATTGTTCTGCAGTCGTATGCGTGCGCATATTCCAATGTAATGATACACTTCTTGACTGATAAAGTAAGAAAAGAGGGAGGAAACTGCATGTGAGTAGCTCTGTGGAGATGCTCCATGCTCCTGGGAGCCACGCTCGCTCCCATGTAACACATTGCCAAACTCACATACGCAAGAGTGGAACCAAGAGAGACCCCCACCTTCTGCACAGCTCCGTATCTCTGGATGGCATCAGACAACTGGTTCTTCAGCCTGTCCAGCTGAAGTCGCTCTTGCTGTTTTGGAAAAACAGAGGTGTGGTTAGCAGGTCTGTAGAGATAAATCAACTAGTAGACTGTCTGTGACCACGGGAAACAGTTCTGGTGGGAGACACTAAGTAAACAAAGTGGGCGCAAATAGTATTCTAAAAATTCAATTTCACTGGGGCTGCCAGGATGCTACGAGGTTTTATTTTTGGAAGGGAGCACAAGATGCTTTGATCTTTCAGGCCAAAGCAATTAAAAAAATGTCACCTTGGATATTCAAGATAGCACTCAAGTCATGAGTACTGTGTGGTCTGCTATCTGAACTGGACACCTTTGGTGGCAGGGATATATAGTGGGACATTTTGCTGTCCTGCTTGCTGCATGAAGGGGGTCACACTCCAATATCAGTTCTTAAAGATTGTGAAACACAAGCCAATTAATACCTTACTGACATCAAAAGAACCGAACGGTTGTAGTATGGTATCCTGCTTCTACTTACTAAAATCCAGCCTCAGATTACCTGCTGGAGACCCAAGGGACCCTCCTATAAAAAGTCCTTTATTTGGATGATACCCCATGACGGAGTTCATCACCTCATTTGATGGCAATGGGTGATTTACTGGACTCGAGAGGTCCATCAGCCACAACAACCTTCCTTCTGCCTGGCCTAGGGCCTGATTGTCAGAAACCAACTTATTTCCATGTTTTCCAAAACATGTACCCAAATGTCACCGCCTTTCTGTCTGGAGTTTGCCCCAGCAAGATACCAATCTATGTTTTAAACAAAAGTGTTCTCAGAAGGAAGACCCCAGTCTAGCCTGACGTAACTATCCAACACGCTGCAAAATCGCTGCTCTCAGATGGAGTGACCAAACCCAAACAGTGTCAGGCAATGGAAATTCTCCTAGAACTATTGTACCCCCTGGATCTCAGATTTCAGGTGTGCAGGAGCTCACGTGTCCAGGTTTTACAGAGGGGAATGAACTGCAAGGAAGTGGGGCATCACCTTGAAAACCAAGTAGCAAATAAAACCCAATCTACACTAAAGCTACTAAGCAGAACCGTTCACTTTACAGCAATTTCAGCTAATTCAGACAACCGCTTAAGAATACAAAAGTAAATTTTATAAAGGATGGGATAAACATCTTTAATTTTTAATGGTAGTATTTTCATACACAGAAGAAGATCCCAATCTGACAGTTCTTCACCCAAAAATTTAAAACCATTTTTGGAACAGGGCAAGTATCATTATTCCCATTCTACAGATAAAGGTCTATAAACCTTATGTTTGTTAAACATGCAAAATAAGAAAAGATTGCCACCCTGGAAGGCTGATCTAATGGTCCAGCACCCATCCTACAAAAACCTGGAATTCCAGATAGGCCTCTCTATTTAAGTCCTTTGAGGTTAGTTTGAAAGGAAGCCTTAAAATAGCCATGTGCTCTTTTACATCAGTCTCCTGCCTTGTATCACACTGATCCACTTACATCAGTATCTTTGCTCCTGAAATACTATCAATTTGCTCAGTTGGGCATCCTGACTCCCAATAGCTCCAGCAGCACTTGGAGCTTCAAGGGAAGTTAGAGAAACTCCCACAGTGCACCTTGCTGGCAGTGCGTTATTGGTGGAAAATAAGGAAGAAAGAAAAGAAAAATATTTTTTGTCCGTGTGTGCATGCAAAGCAATACACAGAATAATGGATCAGAAAGGACTGACTATAAAGCTCTAAATTAATGGAAGGCTTTTCATGCTGTGAGAAGTTTTATGGGAGGAAAGTTTGTAATGCTACCCAGATCCCCAAGAGGGATGTACCGACCAGCAGCAACTATTTATTCTATATAAGGGAGGAGGGCTACAGGCTTTATATCAAAATTTGTAGGTTTAATTACTTAAACTGCGCACTGTTAGAAAAGAAGAGGTAAAAAAATAAAATTTGTGAAATTAATTGACCAGGGAGCAGAAAAAGCTATTATGTGATGCCAATAGAGAGCGGCAAGTTTATTCCTCATATTACTATAATTGTTTGTGTGCCTATTTCCTTCAGCTCTGAAATATTCTCCCTTTAACTTAGCAATTTTTCTCCCTGCGACCGTAAAAGCTATTGTCCTGAGAGTCCTCAGTGGACACTACATGGGCTTCAAGGGCAAATAATGTCATTTGTGTGTGGCACTATAATTGGGTTTAACGTGACCTTGCCTGATTTCCCTTCGGACCCAATTTATGTCACGAAATGGAGCCAGGAGATCAGCACAAAAAAAGCCCAGATCCCCATATCTCCAAGAAAGCATCTTCTGTTTCATCAAGCTCTGATGTAATTATTCTCGGAGTATGCACGAAAAGGAAAAAAAATAGTCCTTGTAGTCCATCACTAATCAAAGCAACATGTTAAAAAAGATCAAAGTATTAAGGTTGATGCCTGCGTAAGGTCAATGTCTATGTATGGAGAACAGTCATTCCAGGCTTTCCTCCCCATCCTCTGGAGCAGACCATCACCCATTCATTTTTTCAGGTGGGCTGAATTGCACATGGTCCTCCACAGGTTACAAAGGTAGCCTGGGGTGATTCAGCTCTTAAATCCTTATCTCATATGCCTGTTGGCAAGTGACATAAATCCAGGCTGTAAAAAACACTTGCACAGAGACGAGTTGTGTATTTAGAGCAGTGTTTTTTCTAGGTGGAAGGACAGTGAGAACAGAGTTGAAGTAATACAGGACTTTGGAAAATGGCAGGAAGTGAGTGAGCTTAAAACACCAATTCAGGTAAGTTCCTGACCCAGAAACTACATGAATGCTGGAAGCAAGAATGTAACAGAAAACTGCTAGGCAGAATCAAGTAGAAAAGTATTGTCCTTATTCTCATTTCAGTTGCTGAATCACCTGTTATGTGGGTGAAACTTCTCAACTCTCACACCAGCTGGAGTTTGCTCCCCACAATATGCTTCTGTTCTTCCCCATGATGCATACCACAGGCCAAAGTCAGCAGGAACACATGGGGTATAAAGGTCTTTGTGGAAAGGTCAGAAACCTTCTGTTTGTCCCATTGGGGATCATTCATACCCCTGTGACAATGATGTTCATATGAGTTGAACCTACTGATGACAGAAGACCAGTCTCTCCGTTCAACAGATGGGGTTGCCGTGGGGGCAATTGTAATTCAATGTCCTGCTCTGATCTGGCCGCAGCCTGTAATTATTTATCCCCACCGCTGCTTTCTCACTAGGATACAGCACTGAATGAATATCGTATCTAGACATATTCCACTGCTTTGCCCTTTCCGTGCACTTCAACACATTTCCAAACTCATCTGCACCCAGTGCACCCACTGCACAACTGAGTCTTTGACCAATGCCAAACTCATGTGGAGCCAGGTGATTCCTGTAGTACTTTTACCCAAGCTGAGTAAGACCCTGAGATAGGTGTAAGTGAGTCAAGGCTCCGTCGATGAGCTCTTGATTTCCAATTCCACATCATCCAGTTTTGGGAGAAGAACTGGTTTGTGCAGCTGTTTTCCCATTGGTCATTTATAAATGCGAGCGATGTTTATTGTGTAACAGAAATGGAAGTTATAACAAAACATGGAGCTCAACAGCTTTAAAGCACCCACTACCACTTCTTTTTTCATTATTCCTCCCTCCATAAGACCCAGCACTCTCCCCCAACAGCATCTTGAACGACACGTACCCTGGATGAGCCTCTAACAACCTCAGACAGCTGCTTGATGGCTTTGGTGCTAGTCGTGATGGTTTTATTAGTCTCCTGCTGGGTTGCATGCCTGCAGAAGAGATGATGGGAATTGCAATTGAAATTAATTGCATAATGAGACACAGAAATTTATCAAGCTGCAGAGCAAACGAAACAACACAACACACAGCACATGGAGCCACAGTAGGACTATGCGAGTCCAGGGTCTGGACCAGCAACAGCAGCCAGAAGGCTGTAGGAAATGCTAGCAAGGAGCTGCCCAGAATGTTCTTCCTGTGATCAGCACAAAGACAGTGGCGGTGGACGTGCAAAGTCAATGGGGGAAGATAAGTTGAAAGTAGGGGGTGGACAGGTAACAAGGCCATCACTGATGGTTGGTATTGCAACTAAAATTGTCAAAAGAAGGGTTGTAGAGCAAAAAGAGATGGGACTGGGGAGTTACCTGATGGCTTGCCCAGGAAAATTTTGTACTCAGAAGAGAAATTTGAAGCAACAGAAATTGAGCAGGACAAATATACTTACCATGATCATCTACCTGCTAATGACATAGTATCTCGAGGAAAACACTGTGAACATGAAGGTGCGGTGCTGCTTTACGAGCACTGAAACAGGCAGGCAGGGAGCCAAACCAGTCCCCTCTCCAGTCATGGTTGTCCCTCTCTTTTACATTCCAAATTCCAGTACCATTATTTCTTGTAGGCACTGGTTGCTGGCTTTGCTGTTCGGGACCACACAAAGTAGGGGGAAGAGACATAAATGCTGCCCAAAGGTATTTATTAGCTCAGTCCAGTAGTTCTCAAGCTTTATAAGGTCAACAGGGCATTTTTGGCTTCTAAGCTTCCCCAGGGAGCGCTTCTCATATTTTTAGTCCGAAAGGGGTGGTTTTCCATACTGCTTCAATCAAAAACTCTAGAAAGACTCAAGAAAGACCTGGAGAAACTGATCTTTTTTCTCCCTTAGAGGACATATTTGAGCCATGGTTATATTGAAAAGACTAATTTGTCAGTGCTCTTTTTTCAAGGTGGGCAGGATGTGGAGTGAATGGAAGTTCTCTGATTAAAAAATGTTAAGATGACTATTTATGGCCCCTCTGTCCTGAAGACCCATGGCCCGTCCTGGCTCTTCAGCTCCTTCCTGCTTCTCTGTCAGCACTGATGGAGACCAGCTCTTTCAAGACTTACGTCAACTCTTTCAGCACCTCCTTTGAGGAACAAGGCCAGTCCCCAAACAGTCTTTACCAAACACAACCTTAACTACAAATAAATTGAGACCTCTCAACAAGCACTCCACTGACTGTCATTTCCATCTAGTCAGGGAAGATGGACATAGGCACCATGAACTGCGATATTCACCCCCCTAGCAAAGTTTGGCGTTTTTTTTTCCACTTAAGCAAGATGCCTCCTTTGAGGAACAAGGCCAGTCCCCAAACAGTCTTTACCAAACACAACCTTAACTACAAATAAATTGAGACCTCTCAACAAGCACTCCACTGACTGTCATTTCCATCTAGTCAGGGAAGATGGACATAGGCACCATGAACTGCGATATTCACCCCCCTAGCAAAGTTTGGCGTTATTTTTTCCACTTAAGCAAGATCTCTGTGCAGACAGCTCAGGTGGGAAAGCTGTCTAGGATAAAAGTATACTTAATTTTATGCATTGTACCTACCAGGTATACAAATGAAAGCTTAGCATACCATGAAGATAACATCTCTTAGCTGCAGAACAGTAATTCAGATGTATGTTAAGGGTTGAACAAGCACACAGAAGGCATGGACTCCTTTGGCACCACACAGGAAAGAGAAATAATCTCATATGAAGATAAGACTGGATCCAATAACCAGTTATTCTCAGCTCTCCTTAGTTAAATTAAGATACCATTTCTGTATTCATTCATCAAAATGCATTTCATTTATTTATGATCCCAGGACCCACTGCACCAGTTGACTAATTACTTCACTTTTAATTTGAGATGGAAGACTTCATACCTACCACAGAGAGGTATTCTACACTGTCATCGCAAGACAGGGAGCTGGGAATTGAAACCTGTCACATCGCCTACCTTGAGGAGTACGAAGTTAGCCTGGTCCCCAGTCTTTTAATCAAGTAAATCTTGCCACCAAGTGCATGAATTTCATAAGCAGCAGTTTCAAGACTGAGACTTCCACAACTAATTCCTCTTAATGCAATGCAAGGCGCTGGAGTTGACGTCCAGTCATTTTGCAGATCTCATTAAATTATCTGCCCACAGAACGAGTCAGAGATTTACATACCAGCAATTCCCCATCCCCAAAGTAAAATGGCTTGTTAGGCTCATGCATTTGATCCTTCCCAATCTCTAAAGCTAAATAAAGTCTCCTTCATTTGCATTCTAATGTAAATTTTATGTTAGATATCTTATGTAATAAATCCATGCCGCACACAAACTTTGCACTGAACTGCTGCAAAATAACTGGGAATGGGAGTACAAAAAATAAAAGTTCTGCCTTGCACCTCTTAATTCAAAATGCACTTTAACCAACATGCTGGTGCTTGATTTTGGCACTTCCCACTATGTTGTCAGCACAATTAACTTCTTATTCTTCAGCCTCAGAGATACGCTCAGGAATCAGACCGTGATTATATTTAAATTACATTAAATGCTATTAAGATCTTCATTAAAAGAGAGGTCTTGAAACTCCACTCCCCACAGCATTTTATTTTATTATGTAATGGTAACAAGATAGGTTATTATTATTATTATTATTATTATTATTATTATTATTAT